TACCATTCATTAAATTGAATTATTCCTGTTATAACAATATCACCATGTATGTGTGGATAATAAATTGCAGTGTAATCTAATAAGTATCATTAAATATATTTGAATTACTAAGCACATATATAGTCCTGTTCAAAGGTATGAAGACTTCTCATTCAGTGAATATAGATGGTCCCTGCCTTGTGATGATTTGACTTATGATTTTTTGATTACAACAGTGTAAAAGCCATATGTATTCAGTAGAAACTGTATTTCAAATTTTGAGTTTTACTCTTTTCCCAGGCTAGTGATACGTGATTCAACACTCTCTCGTATGCTGGGCAGTGGAAGTGAGTCGAAGCTTCCAGTCATCCATGCAGTCACCAAGGAGAACAACAAATACTCTACAGCGTGCTGCGCTGCCAGGTGACTTTGCCCAACTGTAGGCTGATCTAAGCATTCTGGGCATGTTTAAGGTAGGGTAGGCTAAGCTGTGATGTTTGGTAGGTTAGATGTATCAAATTCATTTTAAATTTATGACACTTTTAACTTAAGATGGGTTTATCGGGACTTAACATCATAAGTTGAGGAGCATCTGTATACTCAAAGAAATACTTTTATAAGTTTGCTCATATACACTTCTACATGAATCAAAACCAACATGTTTGCTAGAGCTTAAATATTATTTTTGCACAATGTATACTAGTCTCTTGAAAGGTGGTTTGTGATATTTACCTTTATTTAAAGTGGAATAGTACATTGGAATAATTTTTTTAATCATAGGAAAAGCAAATGAATAATATTGTTTTACTTGAATGAAAGTCCAAATAAGCTTAAATACATAACCAAAAAAAAAAAAAAATCCAGCAAATGTGTGTCACAAGTCTTCTGATGGTATGTTATATAGAAAAGATAAGAATACTGTGATTTGAAAGGTGATGTTTCAGTTTTCCAAAAAGCCTCTCTAAGCATGGAGCACACATCATTTCCACTGCCATATGGAATGTGTACTCTATGCTGCAGAAACGTTAGACTGGGTTAATGCCAATCCATAAATAGCAATGAATTTTTGGTCCTTTCTTCCTGCTCTTAACTGTCCCTTCCACCTGGAACATTCTTCCACCTTATGCAAACAAGAAACTCCTTATTATTCTTTAGAGCCAGTAAAATGTCACCTCTCTATAATTTTTCTCAAAAACTCGCCCCTCCAATATAGAATTTAAAGTTCCACCACCTATGTTTCCAGTAGTTTTATACCTGCTCGCATTGTGGGACTACACACC